AAAAAAATTTTACATACAAATGTATGCAAGACAAGTCGAAAAGCGTTTTTCTAAGCAATACATTTTAAATCACAAGAAATTCACCAAAAAATGCTGGTTCTTCTTCCTATGAAGTATAGCTCAGTACAGGAAATAGCCCACTGTATAAAACCCAGCCAGCGTAGCTGAACATATTTATGTATGTAGTTAACAGCATTGAACTTCAATTGCAATCCAATATGCTAAGCAGCATACCTGCTGTAGGCACCACTTTGCCGCCCCTCGACTCGGCTGATATGTACATACATACATACCTTCCGCGTCGCCAGCCGCTTGTTATGCTAAAACGAATCTAGAAAATGCAATTAACCGTCGCAATGCAATAATGCACGTTTGGGTGTTGGAAAGCAGTTTACGAGAGAAATATTGCAAGCATATTAATGTAATTAGACGACAGCGCTGCATCAATGCCGACCAATCAGTTTACTATAAAAGCCTGCGCCAGTTATAGCAGCATCATCAAAGTCTTTCTTTTCGTGTTCACTGCAAGTACAACGCAACGGTAGCAGCGCGCAAAAATGTTCAACTTATACAAATTGGTAAGGACGAAAACGACGAATTAAATATTTATCCACATATTTCATTTACGCTCTTGATTTACATAAATAGTTCGTGGTGTTCGCTGCGCTGCTCAGTCTGACGGCCGCACGCCCCAGCATCCTGTCGCCTATTATCCTGCCATCTGCCGTCTCGCATCAGAGCATCACTCAGGTTCATGCACACCATCCTGTGCTTGTGGCTACACCTATTGTGACTGCCGTGCATCCCGTCCTTACACATCCCATCATCCACCATCCGGAGCATATCGTTATTGGTTAGAGTGCCACTCACCACCACAGCTGACATGGCCGCTTTGTTACAATTTCTTTCGACTGGACTTTTTTTTCTCTAAAAGTGAATACTCAGCACCTGCCACCATCTCACACATCCGCCTGCCACTATGTAATCCAGACACCCGCATTATCGCTCAATCATATAGAGGCATACATATTCATAAATCAAGGAGTTTATGTTTGGTATGCGAAATTCTGCGATACATTTTTTTTTGTTTTCTATTTAGCGCTTGTTGCGTTGTAGTGCATTTCTTTTTATTTTATTTTATAGTTTTATCTTTTAATTTTTTGTTTTTATTGACTTTCATTATGAGAAGTGGTTCATAGTTACATACATACATATGTATGTAATGTGCGCCATTTAGAGATTATCAATAAAACCCAGAGCATTGAAAAAAGCAAATACCAGAGCATTTTCTTCGAGCGTGATTTTGATGCCGCAGGATTCCGATGATTTCGCTATTGGTTCGAGTAAATAGAAGGCTTCAGCGAAAAGCAAAAAAAAAGTCTGACGCTGTCACGTCGCCACTCTTTAGAGGCCAGCTAATATTTCCAACATAGCTGCTAATACTAATACCGAAGTCTTTTGATCGCGGGATAATAACTACTAGACTAGACTAGATAGTACATTGAACACATCGTAGCCGCATACTCAGACTAAACTTCGACTCATATGTCCTGATGCCAAAAGCTCTCTTCTCTGTGTTGGGCCAACAGACTTAATCTCACCCATGCATAACAGGCTTCTAAAATAACCGGAGGTTAGAGTAGTGGAGCCAAGCCTTTGGCTTTTAGCGCTCACGACGCAATATAAAACCTATAGCTGAATAAAGTGCTGAAACCCTGAAAAGAGATGGACACTTAAAAATCCTTTCAAAAGAATTTCTGGGCTCATTTGGCCAGCACATCATTCAAAATACTAGTACAACCCGTTTAAATGGCTTCTACGACCCCATTTCATTGCCGTTTCATAGTCAACTGCATTATACCAAATATTTAGGTAGAAATAACAGGAAGCCAAATCAGGCGTGAACGGGGAACGATTAATACTTCTAATGCAATTTTTAAATAATCAAAAAATCAGTTGCACTATTCAAAAAATGAGATGGCGTGCATTAACCTGCCCGTTAAATTTTTTTTCGTAAAATTCAGACCCTCTTCTCCAAATACTTTGCACCAAACACACTCAAAATCTAGATGAAATAGTAAATTAATGGATGGTTTGATCTAGTGGCACAATACCTTTGTGAATAAAAATAATAACTCTGGAATTGTAGAAAGATATCAGCATTGACTTCACTCGGCAACTTTAACGCTTTATCTCCCGATCTACTACAGACATTTGATCGCAAGGTCACTTTGGTGAAGAAGATGTTGAGGCCACTTTGGCCCATTTAATGTCCTTCGAATATTTAGCTCCCATCAGCATCAAATTTTGTCGTTGGACGCTCATTTTTTATGACACGACATAACTCCATTTCCAATCACTCAATTACTCTGCGAGAGTGTAGCTATTAGTGGAAGATGTAGGGCTTTTAGCGGGTCATGCACATCGGGTGATATTTGCAGTCGAGGATAACGTACTGTGTTTCAATGGTGCGTCGCTGACACTGAGTCGTCACAGTCAGTAACGTTGATCTTACCATGGCACGGCGCGCTACCGTCACGTACGTACTTTTTCCCTTTCTCACTGCGTTTCCTCCTGGACAGTGACTAGGCGGGCGAAGCGAACGTAAGATACAGACCAATTATGTTCAATAAAAACAATCAAAAAAAACTAGAACTAGAGCATTACTGACAAGGACTTCCTCGCCTGGGCAGCGAGAACCCCATTCAAATCAGGAGGTTTTGACAGCCAGCTGTAGATCAAAGTACTCTGTCGATCGATCACCTTTTTTCCCTGCAGAAATAAGATATATTAACCCACTGCAAGTTATTAAATTCCACAGGCTGGATTTAAGAGAAACAGCCAATGCGAGTTGTGTTTGTGGAGTTGTTTAACTCGCCACTTCAACCAACCAACCAACCCGATCCTAAAAGGGAATAATAAATCAAAGTCTAAAGATGCTTATGAACCAAATGGCAATCAAAGAGCTTAGACACTACGAAAAAAAAAGGTTACATATGTAAATCTAAGTTCACGCTACAATTAAATTTTAAATGATATGAAGATATTCAAAGTACAGTACTGTTTCTCACTGTTGATTATATTGTTAATGGGCAAACACGCTTAGCCTGCAAGACCGTGGGTAGTCAGTTAAACAGAAGCTGAATGAGCGCTCATAATTAGTTTATACCTACTGTATTCAACATAGTGATTCAAACTTAGTTAAAAGAGCAAACAGGTTTTATTTCGCACTGAGAAACTGACCACAAACTGACGATTATTACTATTAATGCCTAAAATTATGCACCTTTTAATAATTGATACGATCGTGCCATGCATTTTATTTCGATAGCCAAAAGTTAAGCAGTGCAGGCATAAAATACATGCATAAATTCATAAATAATGCAGCCGAGGTAAGTAGACAGATTTTAAATGATTTTGTACGCTGAAGGACCGAAATAATTACTGCAGAAAAAAAATATCAAGTACTTCGTTTTTGTCTTGAATTTGCTCCTTTAAAGTAAAATAACGAAATTTTGAATTATATAAAACAAAGACATAATTTTATTAGAGCACTTATAAGTAGTACAAGGATCAAGTTGCTAAATCGTTAACGAAAAATTTTCTAATGATGATGGAGTGTGTAGGCCAAAGGAGCAGCATGTACGGAGTGCACTAGAGGAGCAGAGTGTACGGAGTGCACCACAGGAGCTGAGTGTACGGAGTGCAACACTGGAGCCGAGTGTACGGAGTGCACCACAGGAGCAGAGTGTACGGAGTGCAACACTGGAGCCGAGTGTACGGAATGCACCACAGGAGCTGAGTGGATGGTCGTCTTGACGGCATGAGCAAGAACTGGCTCGACCACGGATTTACTGTGCACCTGTGTGATGCTCTGATGGGAGACGGCCGAAGGTGCGCTGTGCACCACTGAACCAACCTTGGCCAACACAGGCTCATGGACTACATGGTGAGTTTCGATGAGGCCAGCGTTGACGGCGACGAAGGCGAAGACGCAAAGGAGAGCGATCTGTGAAATAAATAAAGGAAAAAGATTTAAAGTTAAGGCTTTTCTGTTCTGTTAATTTCGTTGCGCGTTTGTTCTTACGTTTTTGAACATTTTGAAGTCGATTGAGTTTGAGCTGTTTGATTAAGCGTTGAACTGTTGGCTGGTGACTGATATTGGATGCTGCAAAGCAGCTGGTTTTTATACAAAAATTACGTCAAGTGACGTAGATATGGCATAAGTGAAGATTTCTTCGTAGCATTAAAGTAGTTATGCCAGTGTGAGTGGAGGTGGAGTTCTCAGTACTAAACGATTGATACAGAGTCAATTGCTCATTCGACTTGCGCGAAACCAATGTCGAAAATTTAACTTCTTTTGGCGCAGCTGCGCTTTTGCCTTACGTAATTAGTGGTAGTTGTAGTTTGGTATGTGCGTAAACAATAGTTTGCTTCTTTGAGGTGTATCAGCTGTTTCTCACATACATACATATACTCCCTCACCAAAACAAAATGGTAAACAAAGAAATTGTTTTGATTTTTGGACTTTTGATTACACTTCATCGATTATTCTTGTTGTACAAGTTTATCATAACAAATTAATTTAGCTGCTTATTTTACCTTACATATGTCCATAGTATAAAAGCATCATCGATGCGCACATTTGGCATCAGTAGGAATTCACTGTTTAACAAATCACCAGCCTAAGACAAAATAACTAAAATGTTCAAAGCTGTAAGTTGATATTCAGTACTTTTCTGTGACTCTTTAATTCTTATCTTTAATTATCCCAATAGAATCTCATCCTCGCCGCCATCTGCGTGTTTGCCGCCACCAGCGTCAATGCTGGTCTCATCGAAACTCACCACGTAGTCCACGAGCCTGTGTTGGCCAAGGTTGGTTCCGTGGTGCACAGCGCACCTTCAGCCGTCTCCCATCAGAGCATCACCCAGGTGCACAGCAAATCCGTTGTCGAGCCAGTGCTTGCTCATGCCGTCAAGACCACCATACACTCTGCTCCCGTTGTTCCAGTCGTACACTCAGCTCCTGTGGTGCATTCAGTACACTCAGCTCCTGTGGTGCACTCCGTACACTCGGCTCCAGTGTTGCACTCCGTACACTCAGCTCCTGTGGTGCACTCCGTACACTCGGCTCCTTTAGTGCACTCCGTACACTCAGTTCCTGTAGCGCACTCCGTACACTCTGCACCTGTGCTTCATGCTGCTCCTTTGGCCTATACTCTGCATCATCATTAGAAAAACGTGTGGTAAAGAAATTATGTTCCGATGTCATCAACAATCGTAAAAATTTAAATAAATATTTGTGATATACTATAAAAGTAAAAGAATTTGCTCTTCATTTCACAAAAAAAAAATTATGCAAGGGGTTCCACTATAGTTGATTTAAAGTGTACTATTTTTTCCATATTAGAACATAGTCGGTTATGGCCTGTTAGTTATCTAAAGGATAATCTGATGTTTGCTCCATTTAAGAGACTAATATATTTCCTAGCGAAAAAAAAATCCGATGAGTCTGGTCTGTCTAATACACAAATATATTTAAGAATGATAGAATTGTTACCAGGCTTGGTTAGGCTATGTTGCGGCGGTTGCTCCAAGCCTGAGCCATCTGGACCATAAGCATAAGTACTTTGTGATACCGATCAAAGAAACTTCGCAGGTGGCAGACGTGAGCCTGTAGATCTCCACAGAGCTGGCAAGAAGGAGCGAACCAAGGTGTTTACCTCATCGTCCTCTAAACAGCCGCGACATTGAGGATTTGTTGTGATATTTGCGACAGAAATGAGTCCTTAACCGCCTTCGGTCCAACCTAGACCAAAAAGAGCCTGCATTTCCAGAAGTCCGCCTGTTGTCAAAGGATACTTCAAATGGCCTACTACCCATGCACTCGTAGGTCTGACTGTTCACTTACAAAATGCGATGGAAGCAGAGCCAAGGCATCCTTCTACTATCTTTTGAAGCACCGTGAGCGAGTCCGAGACCGTTCTAGGCGTTTTGTTGACAGAGTAATTCTTTTCGAACGTCTCGCAGATGGGCAGCCACTCGCCTGCCTCTTTAATGACATCTAACTCTGACTGCTCAAGCTTCGACCGGTATGATAGGAGTTGCCTAGTGTCTCCTTTTTGCTACTACATATTTGATGTCCACTCATCTCCATTAGCGATGTGAGTAGAGAGAGAGTTCATTGGTGCCACTCTGACGACGCAATGATGCTTGTTATCAGACGTAAAGTCGAAGCCTGCAAAAACGTGAGAATGTCCAAATCCTGAGTTTGTTAAGCTCGCAGTGTTCCCAATTTTATCGCAGCCCTCACTTTTAAAGCCTCATCTACGAGTGCCTTACTGATGCGAATTATGATTCCGGTTCGTAGGTTCCGGTTTTCTGAAACAGTTTTCCGCCGCCTCCGAATGGCAAATGATGGTTTTAATGAGAAGTCTTTTCGTGACAGACAAACATTCCGAGATTTCCAATTGCCTGTCAAGGGAAGCCCACCGTTAGGAAACCCCTTTGTGTTTATATTCCTCGGATCCTGAAGGTATCGAGTGGTAGTGCGCATCTTTTACCACTCCACCTCGCCGGCACTAGCTCACTTTACAGAGACAGTTCTATCCGGAGCAGCCTTACCAAGGTATCTAACGATTGCTCCGGCAAAGATTTTCGATGTCAGAGAAGGCGATCTCGACCGACTTACTCTGATGCACGCATGTTGAGCTTCTGACAGGCGATTACAAGAAATCAGGTTTCTAATATGAAACAGATAAATGTACCTCTTCTGAACTTTAAGCAAGAATGAAAAGAAATTGTTTGTTCTAAAATTTCAGGAGAAATTTGTGTTACACCAGAATCGATCCATATTTCGGTTACTAAGGTCACTTATCGCATTGTCAGAGATGCGAGTTATCTAAGTGCTGAGTGAAGACGACCTAGCAATAACCCAATAATTTAAATCAAGGCAAATAGTGCGCTTCCTCAAAAAAACCAATCATATTTGAATTTAAATATGAGCGCATTTTAATATCATAATCAGCGTAACTTGTGTATGAAATTCTAAACATTCAATCAACAGCTAAAGACATATTTTTATATATATATGTATATATGTACTGAATGGAGCGAAACCGGAAATAAATGAACGGAAATCAAAATCGCAACTAATCAATTTTAAATGTTTCTCAAAACAAATGACAATATGAAAACGCAATGAGTAGGCAAGAAATGGCCGAAAGACTAACAAGTTTCATTTGTCCCACTGCGAAGGTCTTAAAAAAAAAAAACAAAAAAAAATGCTTGCTGCAATTGTAGGGAAGTAAAGTAGTTAGAGGAAAAATAGTTGTAGGAAAAAAATCTTAGAGGTTTTAATAATAAATAAATATGTGCATACATGAAATTGTACTTTGTAAATACAACAAGTGAGATTTTGGATTGAAAAAACCAAAAAAAAACACAAAAAACCAAATAAGCAATTCATCATAGGTACTCCTAAGCAATTATTTATGCCTATTATAATACTTAATCTGATTAAGTACGCACGAGTATAGTAAATGGTATGTATGTGTGTATGTATGCTTGTACTACCTATGTAAGTGGTTAGCCCTTCAAAAGTTAAATGGGCTTCTGTAATTGAAAATTAAATAAAAAAATATATCAGTGAAATAAAAACATAAATATTTATTTTCTATTATCTCAATTTTTTAAAGAAGGGAATTCTATTTTTAGCGTTAGCATCAATGTGCATATATATACATATGTATATCTTGATACTACTTAGTAGTGTATTTGCGCATTTCTACATACATATATACATATGTGTGATGTATAGTAGCAGTAAATAGGATTTTTTCACACTAGTTCCAAACCAGTAAAGTTTAAACCAGTGGTGGTTGTTGCTGAGTTTTTTTTTTATAAAACTCATTTAGTAACTTCCTTTATCTTTCAGTCTGTAGAAGAGTATAATAAATCCAATGTATAGCAACAAAAATTCACACAAGCATTCAATCGTCATTTCGTTCGTCTCAAATTCTCAACTGGCTTGTTACATAAGTTTTATAACAGAGCTTCCGAACATATACATATGTGACCTGGTCTACGGAAAGGGAGCTTACGTGCGAAAAAAGTTTTCTGTGAAAAAGCTGTTAAAAGTGAAAATCATCTCATCTTCCATCCGAATCAACCAAAAAGTGAAAATTGATTTTTTGACACCTAAGCCCCCTTTCCGTAGACCAGGTCACATATGTTGAGTGGGCTACACCGCCGGCATAGTTTTTATTTGTCCATTCTGCTATTCTCACCAGCCTTATTACATTAATATTTCATATATTGTATTTCCAGAAATTTTTAATAAATACATAGCTGTTTTCCCCAGCCTTTAAATCTTTACAAGCAGTCTGGGAATATTGCCGAATTTCAGAAGTTAGGTAATCCAAAAAAAATTTAAATTTAGGATGAACAAAGTAAACCGTGTCGAAATCTTCTGTACCTACAGTTTCAAGACTGAAAGTGGACCTGGAGCTGGCTCATGATTCAATAATACAAGGTTGGATAAATATTGACATTTGTGTCAATCGACTGCCTTGTAAGGTTGCATTTGAGAAGGAAGAGAAAGCGGGTAACCATTTTTTCCCCTATTGTGAAAAGGTAGTAGGAAAAGTAGTGTGGTAGTGCTAAAATCCGTTTTTTGTATATTATATTGAATTAAAATATTAAAGCAGATTCCATTGATCTACACAATGGACAATGAATTAACTTTTTTATGGTGTATAAACATGCTATATAGATATTAAAAATGAAATAAATGAAAATGAGAGGATTTTATTTACCTAAAATTATTATTATTATTATGAGCCTTGAGTACTGGGACCTCTAGGGTGGTCTATTGTGCGTGGCCCTTTACCCTATATATGAAGGCTTTTAATATAAGCTAGCACTTCGGTGGGCTTTTTGTTCCATATTTCGAATGGATTAAGTGTTGTACCACCTAGGTGAGCGAGTCTGCGTCTAGCGAGAGCAACACATTCACAAAGGATGTGTTCTGGCGTTTCTTCGTCCATCTCACAGAAGCGACAGACGCTCGTGTCTGAAAGATTCATTTTACTGAGGTGATAACGCAGGGAACAATGTCCCGTGAAGTACCCAGTGAGAGTTCGAAGGTCCTCCCTGCCTAGATTTATGAGCTTTTTTGAAGCTTCTTGATTTACCTAAAATTCTGACCAAAGAAAAATCTTATCGACAAATATTCCCAAATATTCAAAACAAACCATGGTTTCATTAAAACTCGAGTATATATTAAATAAAATTAATGGAATTCAAACAAATCCTTTATTCAAAGGGACTATATTGCACAACGTCTTCAAAAGAGTCACAACTCCAAATTTGGCATTTTTGAGATTATGCGCTAAAAATGTACACAGAGCTTTTATTTACCTTTCAGCAAAAGCTGGATCAAATTTTTGTTATAATTTGTAAATAATAAACCTAAGGTAAAGTCGCTCTAGCCCATATGATTATCATGTGCTAAGAAATAGTTTTTCGCATTTTCTAACAAACGTATTATTTTGAGTTGTGACTCTTTTGAAGACGGTGTGCGATATGAAGAAATATACAACTAGTAAAGATGCAATTGATACAATGTATATAAATTAATCTTGTTAAAAAATTATTATATTTGTTGCATTTAAAAATTTCATTTTCAATATCTTAAATTGAATTACATTTGGTGGACGGACACACAAAATATAAGCTTTATTGATATTTACGCTTTCACTTTTATGAGGTGGTATACTTACTTGTAAGTCTGTAATGGCTGCACTTCACCAAATAGATCGGTGCAGCTGTAATTCCCAGTGGACTGCACCAGCCAAATGTGGACGGACACACAGAGATCCTAGCACGCAAAACTTATTGGTAACGGCTGTACTTGCTGTAAAACGCAGGTTTTTGAATAACTCCGATACTCTGCAAAGAAATATGTAAATTATTTCTTTAATTCAAAATAGCTCCATTATTTTTGATTTTTTTGGCATGCTTACTTGAATTTGCGCAATAAGAAAATCAATTTCCTCGAAACAATCGATGAAACTAACGGCAGTGTTGCCTGTTGAACTTTTTATACGAAGACAATATTTCTCCTTGTCTTTTAGTAGTAGTTTCTATAAATCAAAAAAGAAAGCAACACAGGCTAAGGCAGAATGCGGGAGCGAGACAACTGCCAGGTTATCCAACCTTGTGTTATTGAATCATGGAGCTGGCTAACATCTAGAAAGTAACTTCAAACTGGAGGGAAGAAGTTCCGAATCTTGATGGAACTGATTGCTTGACTACAATTTATGGCGGCAGCACATGATCGCCACAGGTATAATCGACGGTTCACTGTACACCTTTTGCCTGCATCACGGGTATATATTAGGCTGGGTTAAAGTGGAATTGGTCCTTTGTGGTAGCTCTTCGAATGGTAACGCTCTGGTTTTCGCCCAGTGTTAGCTGAGCTGATTCCGAGGCCCAGCTTTCCAAGATGAGTCCACAAGTAGGCAAGAGAACTCCCACTCACTCTATTCTTGTTGAAAGTAGCTCGAGAGTACCACTCCTCGCCAGCTTATTAGCTATGCAGTTTCCTGCAATATCACTTCAACTGGTATCCATAAAAGCTGAGCAGCTCCGATGCGACCGAACGAGAAGTTGGGATTTCCCCTACTAGCGTCTAGCACACCGTAAGCACACCCAGGGTTCCAATTGATATTAGCCTTCCTGACCGACAGCGCAATAACCTCTGCTTGCAGAGCACTACGGTGATCTAGAAATCTAAATTTAAGGTTGATCGAGAATTCTTCGGAATGGAAACTTCCACCCATCCTTGTAAAAATTCACCTATTTCTCCTACCAACCACTGCCTCCCATCCGTTAATGGGATGTGCATGGATCAAGAGATTGTTGGTTCCAGGCTATTCATGCAGTGATCCGTATTATCAGGTTTCTAACCAAGTCTTCGAGAATATCAAAGCAGAACGAGGATAATGGAGAAAATGTTCTCAGAAGCTATTCGAGGTTAGCTGGACTGAGATCTGATGTACTGAGAATGGATAAAGAGCATACTCCTTCCTTCAACTAAATACCTAATCTTATCAAAGTGTATGGATCCAGACAATGCAACCTAGCTGGCATGCATGTAGTGCCTTAGCATTTATTTTACTTGAGAGAGCACTACCTTTTTTAACCGACTTCCAAAAAAGGAGGAGGTTATCAGTTCGTGGGAATATTTTTATTTTTTTTTTATTTTTATGTATGTTACCGCATAACTTTATATATATATATTTTTATTTTTGTTTATATGAGAGTTGAAGTCGGTTTTTGTTTTGCTAAAAATTACTTGTTTACATATATTGTCGACAAATTTTAGTCCAATTACAAAAAGTCTAGTCTCAAATTAGTCCTTCTAGCAGAATGTTATCATTTTTATTGCATGTGTTTTATTCAGATAAGTATGTACGTACATATGTATGTATGTACATTCATACAAATATCAGTTTTCCATTAACTACTGCATTTGTGTCAGATGCATGCGCGCATGCCCTTCAATCAAAATCTGGCTGGCTGCACTTACAATCCGAAAAACAAATGTGTATTCATACATACATACATACATATGTATATGAGTGCAGAAATTAAATAAACAAAAAAACGTAATAAACACTTTAATGTTGCACTGCGTACATTTCAGTAGTAACACCAATTGTATGATTCACGGTCAACATTAAAGCAGCAAATAAAAAATAAAAAATAATAATCAAAATCTTTAAATGAAAATAAATGGAGCTCACTTCAAATTGACGTAGGACCGACGACGACGACGACGACGACTCACAGATGCATGGCAGCATCCAAATACCAAAAAAGCAATTTAAGTTAAGTGTGTTTGTGTGTGAGTCCCTATGTCAAGGCTACCCTTATGCACTTACCCTATAATTTTGACAACTGCAACTGATGCCACAATCGCCAGCGTTGAGTGCAACATCAAATCGTAAAAGTGTTGATATTAATCTTAAGTTTGCGGCTGCTGTTCTCTCATTATTTAAATGTTTCTTTTTATTGTTTTCGGCTTTTGGTTATTTGTTTTCATTTTTTTTTTTTTTGTAATCAAAGGAGTTCCTTTGGAGTTACCATACACTTGCAACCTTTGTTGTGGTACATAATTATTATTTTTTTTTTTCGACAAGAATAAACGAGGCTTGAATAAAGAAATTACGCAATTTCATCTTGAACAGGCATTTGGTTTTATTAGTGGAATTCGTTTTATTTAGTGGTACAATAAATACACTTGTAACAACGATCGCAGCCAACGATCTGAAGCCAAGTTTCCAGTCAGCCCTCGCCTTTTTCCGATATTAAAATAATAACTTCTGAGGTAGAAGCTAAAGATCGCACATTGCTGTGCAATCAAAGTCATAAATCGAAGTGGAGACCAAGATATTATTCTTTGTTAGTAGATTAAATCTTACATCGATTAGTTGTTATGGAAACACAAAACTCATTCCTCATTCTCTCTCTGGTGTCCCCAGGACCACTTTTATTTGTTTTCCTCTCAGAAGTTTTGCCTTTTGCAGATGGCTTACAAGTTTTAGTACCAGAATCTCCAACTTGTTTGATGCTTCTTTTGAATAAAGCTATTTTAACCATAACACTGGAGTATTTAAAAATAAATTATCGCTTATTATCAATAAATACTCTCATATGAAATACTAAATCCAATGGTCTGTGTTTGCTTATACAGTATTCCCCGCTTAATTGAATCCTGGTTAATTGATTTCCCCGCTTTTTTGAACCACCTTGCTGCTCAAAAAAATATTGCATATAAAATACAAGTAAATTTACTCGCATAATTGAGCCCGGTTAATTGATAAAAATATGTGTTATCGAAAAGAAACATACCTTTAATTTTAACCGGTTAATTGCTCGAAAAATTGTCGCTAAAAAAATAATCCGGCATTACCGCACATACATATTTAGTAGCATTTTTGATAAACAGTAGTTGGCATCTCTGCTAAGAAATTGAAAACTTTTTTTTCTGATGACGAAAATCTGTAAGCAAGCGGCATACATCATAAGATTCGTTAAATTGGACGACCACTGTACTTAAGATACACATATTTATTTTCTTTTAATTGATTCGGTTGCCCCATTAAAAGGGATTTCTGTAATTGAACGAACTGTTCAATTAAACGAGTATCGGTTAATTTATTCCCCGGTTAATTGAACCAAAAATTGTGCAAATTTTTGAAGTGCAATTAAGCGGGGAATACTGTAGTATTTTTAACGCTCAACTCATCTTAGAATCCTTGATGATTTTTATTCCCGAGCGCACTTGTGCACAAGGGTATTATAGCTTTGTTCGCATAACAGTTGTTTGTAATACCCAAAACGAATCGAGATAGATATAGACAAATGTATACATAAATGATCAGAATGAAAAGAGAAATCGATTAAGCCATGTCTGTCCATCCGTCCGTTTGTCCGTCTGTCCGTGTACACGATAACGCGGGCAAAAATTGAGATATTTCAACGAAATTTTGTAAGTAGGTTACCCTTTATCCCGGGTAGGTTGGGATTGAAAATGGGCGAAATCGGGCAATAACCGCGCCCACCTCTCATATAACGGTGTTTTCACAATATGCAATATGCAATTCCGCAAATACTGGATCCAAATTGTTGGAAGTTTGTATTTAAAGTAGAATTTCGGCATAAAATAAGACAGTTAAAAAATTGTTGGCAAAAAAAGGCAAATATCTTAAAAAAGGCAAAAAAAAGGCAACATCAAACGTGTATATCTGGAATCAGAGAAAGCTAAATCGTGGACATTCTTAATCGAATATACTCTATCTCTTTAGCAGAAAAAAAGGCAATTTCCATAAAATCCGTTCCCTGGTAATTAGTAAGGGATGGTGAAAAATTCGTTCCTTATCGCTAACCAGATAGTGATAAGTAGTAAAAATTCTATTTCACTATCACTATGTAGTGGTAGTGAAATTTGAAATGCACTACCACTAAAGCCCTAGTGGTAGTGAAAATTTCGATTTAGTGCAATTTGCCCGACCCTGGCCATAAACAGTGTTATATTTATTGATATTTCTATTCACCTATTCAGGTCCAGTTAAAAAAAGTAAAAATACAGCTTGAATTTCGAATAAAATGAACAATTTTTTGGCAAAATATGCTTCAAAATAATGACTAAGCAAATGTATACATATGTATGGATTAGGGGGGTCATTAAAATATAAACATCTAGGACATCCAAATATCAAAATTTTTAACCAATTTTACAACTTAAAAAAAAAACAGCAAAGATTCTACAAAATTTTGACTTGAAATCTGATAAATTTGACATGTTACTAAAGCTTATTCATATCTTCATATCAATTCATAAACCCTCTGATTTATACATGCATAGTTGGACAAAGTCGAAAATTTTCTGAATTTTGTAGTTTAAAAAAAAAAAAAATTACAAACCTTGCTTGCGACCGCTTTAATTTATTTTTTAAATATTGAAATTTTCTTGGAAGTCTTGATTTTATACGTAGAACAAAAGAAAGGGTTACCCTATTATGTTCATATTTTTAACGACCACCCTAGTATGTGTTATACAAAGGCACTTATTATCATCAAAAATTTGGTTTGATAAAATTTAAATGTAATTAACCAATTTAATGCTTTGCTCAATTTGGGGCAGTTGTAAAAATGCGTTTCACTATTGATTTTTATTTAATTAATTAAAATTGCATGTTTAAATTGATAAAGAGTTTTATACGAATATATATGTACACACGTGTCAAAAAATCCATGTGTATGTATTTGCATATGCGTATTTTAATACACAGATACATCCTTGGTGGTGGTTAGAGTACGTTAAACCAATCGAAAATAGATAAAACAAAATATGCGTGTGTCTGCATTGTACTATTTTCAGTAATTAACGGTGAAAATGTTTATTTTATATTTAAAAAAATAATATAACTCGAAAATCAATTTTACTGAAAATTATTTAGGCTCATACAAATACATACACATACATATGTATGCAAGTTGACACACACGCACCCACACAAACGGCTGCCTAGTCGCATAAATAAACACAGGTCAGTTAGCTTTTCGTCAAATGGATATTCAACTGATTTTTAAATTTATTTATTTTTTTGTTGAGCATTAAAAGCAAAGTACCAAAACCGGTTGCACATAAATTCGTATCAATTTTAACGTTTGTCTTTTACTTAAGGTTTCTATTTGTTCCTAAGTACGTTACTTTTTTATATCGCTATGCTGGCGCTGAGCACAACTGTTTTGGTATAAAAACGCTACGCACAACTGACACTAGCATCAGTTCCAATTAACTTGCAATCAAAGCAACCGCTTTCCAACCAAAAAAAAAAAAACTCAAAATGTTCAAATACGTAAGTTGGATGCATTCATTATTTAAGTACTCCAGTAATTTTCTAATAATAATTTTCTTATACCTTTCGTAGTTTGCATTCTTCACCCTCGTCGCTGTCGCCGCCGCTAAACCTGGTCTGCTCGCCGAAACACACACCGTTGTTCAACCTGCAGTAGTTGCCAAAACCGCTTATATCGACAATAGCGCCTCGTCAGCCATTACTCACCAAAGTCACGTGAACTTGGTTAGGAAGGTGCCAGTTGTACCAGTTGTCCATGCCGCTCCCGTCGTCCACGCCGCTCCCGTCGTCCACGCCGCTCCTGTCGTCCACGCCGCTCCCGTCCTCCACGCCGCTCCCGTTGTCCATGCCGCTCCGGTCGTGCATGCTGCTCCGGTTGTAAAAACCATTGCCACGCCCGTGGTGCATGCCGCTCCTGTCGTCCACGCCGCTCCCGTCCTCCACGCCGCTCCGGTCGTGCATGCCGTTCATGCCGCTCCAGTGGTGCATTCCACCCATGTTTTGCCCGTCGTGCACTCAGCTCCTTTAGTCAAGACAGTTGTCTCTGCTCCTGTTGCCTACAGCTTCCACCACTAATTAGTTGAAGAACCTTAAAAAAATAGACAAAAATATTAATAAAAAATTTTAAAATTAAAATATGTGCATGTGTATTTCACTAAAAAATAATTATTTGTATGGGTTTTCCGGTCGCTTTTTAATCAAGGACCTTAATAGCAATTAATAAGTTATATTTCTAGTGAGGGCCAAAAAAATGTAAATTATTCCATTATTGGTTAGAGACATCTATCTACCCACCAAACATTTAGGATTGAGAATGACTTGGTGTTAAGTTAATAACTAATGCATGTCTAAAATCTCCAACGCTGTGCCTCCACCTCCATTTGAGGAGCATAGCGTTCCCATGAAAGCAACTTGTATTTCTAAGCTTCAGAAAAAGTTAGTCCTCAACTTGCTCTACAATATTTTGAGCTTGAGATTTATACCTAGCGAAACTACGTTTTTGTTTTTCTCTCTGACATCAGGATTTTTCTTAAAAGGACTTTGATATTTTAAAGATATGATAAAACTCAGTGCAATGTAGAATAAGAATTTGGATATCATATGAAAGAGAAAATTCTGTAGAATTCAAAAAAGTTTAAATTTTTTGATGAGTAAGGACGAAAAGGTATTGAGAAAGTCCTTTTAAAATATTACTCTTGAATATCCTTAAGAATTTTAATATTGAATACATGACCACGTCCTCGAATTTCGCCCGTCCAACTTTATTAGCTTAGAAAAATAAAATTTATTAAAAGCACGTTTTCAATACCTATTCGTCTATGTGAACTAATTTTTTTAATTCTACAGAATTTTCTCTTTAATTTGGTATCCATATTAGCCGTCATCGATTCGCCAACAGTTAGCGAGTGGCGAAACGAACGAACTCAATGAGGTATAACCAAACTCGCTATCGTCTATCCGTGCTTGCTAACTTCGTTGTTGCTTTCACATGCAAAAGTCTTCTTTAAGCGACCGGAATTCAAACATAGCGAGCGAGAAGTGGCGAATCGATGACGGCTATTATTACTCCACATTGTACTGATTTTTTTTTTAATAATTTTTTGGCTTAATAATATTTTTGAAAGTCATTTAAAAAAAATCCTGACATCAGATAGAAAAGCTAAAAACGCAGTTTGACTAAATCTGGCCCACAACTTCGTGAGCACATTGATTGTTTCGTGTGTTTTGAAACTTTGTGGTTTTTGTTGCACGGTGTAATTATATCCAAACCGTATGCATTTGTTTGCTTAGTACTATTTCTGGAACTTTCTCAATTTTCAACGGATTTGCACTTTGATAGATTTCTCGAAAGGAAATTTCAATGGAAATCAGGCATTATAGTAAATTTTCGTTTAATGGGATTATCAATAAAACAACCTGTTTTTTTTTTCCTATATTTCCCGCACTTTCATACTTTCCCGGCTATGCGCGCCCCCTAAATTTTATCCGATCGCCACCAAATTTTATATTGGAAGCACTGAGGCTAAAAGGAAACCATTTTTTGCCTGATGGTTAAAATTCAATTTGAAGGGCCAGTCTATTGTATATATTTTTTCAATATTTGATGGTAAGGAAGGAATGCGATACAAATTTAAGTTTTTTACTCCACTATGGACCGCGTGGACCGTGGAGGAATTACTATAGGGAAATGTGGGTCGCCAGTTGGAAAAGGTTTGGAACCACTGCCTTAAGGTATACATACATATTTATATGGAATAAGGAAGCGCGATAGGATTGATAACAGCCACAAGGGTATGCCCTCCAGTGGGTGTATGTGCTCTCTCCCCTTTCGTAGAAATACGCGAACTTCTTTTCACAATGAACAGCCAAGGATTTGAAAAGTAAGGTCACATAGATGCTCTGGTAATCTGCTTAAAAGGGTTGCATGAAGAAACTATCACCCACCGTATGCGAAGATGAAGGACTAACTATAAATCCTACAAAACTATTATTGTACTCTTGATAAAACACTTAAGTAGAAAGCACATTTGGGTACTGTTATCAATAAAGCGATGAATGGTTTATTTGCCTGTTGACGATGTTTTTATTAAACATGGGTCCTTACTCCCCAAATTACTTATTGGTTATTGAGTACTGTCGTAAAGCGGACTTATGTAGGTTGCAAAGAGATCTGCAAGCACTAAACTAGTTTGCATCGGCCTAAATAACAGGAGCTTTGAAAACTTGCCTCTCAGCATGTTCCAAATGGAGATGTGTGTATGTATTTCATTTTGCTCGCGCTGCTCCAACAGTCCCAATGGTCTCGTGAGCAAACCACTGGCGTGCCATTTGGGAATCCTCGGGCAACGCATTTTTCTTTGGTTTTTTGTTAAAAAAAAACGAAAATATGTAGTTTTCTTTTAATTTATAGAAACTCATTAAATGTATTTTCTTATAATTTTTAGATCCTAGTTTTTTAAACAGAAAAAAAATATATTTTTTTAATTAGTCTTTATTTTTAATTATTATTTTTTTTTCTTTTTTATTTAATTCTTAAAATTTATTGTTTTTTGATTACATTTAATTTTTACAAACTTATTTAATGTATTTCTTTTTAATTTTAATTTTTATTCTTTTATGTTTTATTTTTTTTAATATTTGCCTTTTAAACAAAAATATATTACATTTTTTTTATTAAATTTTTTTTTATTACCTTAATTTTTTAATTTTCTCTAAATTTTTAGATTTTATTGTTTAAAAAACAAAACTAGTATTTTTAACTTCACTTAATTTTTATAAATTTAATAAATTAATTTTTTTTAAGTGTATTTTGTTTTCTCTTTTTAGTTTTCTTTTAATTTTTAGTTTTTAATGTTTGAAATATATAAATTTTTTTATTTAATTTAATTTTTAGTAAACTTATTGCTAAAAGAGAAACACAATAAAGCTAAGACCTCAGATCTTTCAATTAGCCTTTCGACTAAACTTCACAATTGTCGTACGTAGACTTTTGTCTTGCGAAGGACAGTTGACAGAAATTTGTTTGGAAGAATATTTTGATATAAATCTTCTTTGAAGAAAATGAAAGGTACAAATAAAACTTCGAAATTTTTTTAATTAAATAATATCTTTCTCTAAAATATGGAACTCTAAGATATGGAACTTAAGCATTTGAACATTTTCGTAGGATTTTTTTTTCTTAGTTGTTAATTGCAGTTACAATGTAAATGTACTGTTATAATTAGAAAATTTGTTCTACAAACTTACATGCGAAATTTCCGCATACAAATTGAGGGAGCTAAATTTGTTTGACAGGCGCAAATTGATTGGCTTAACCTTCGCTTAGTTGCGTGTCCACATTTGTCTACCGCAAACTTTTTGCACAGATCAATGCCTCAATGGCTTACATTGAACTTGAACTTTTCAGCACAAAAAAAACATTAAGTGGTAACAACATTAGCTTACTTGAGTAGACTTTAAAAGTTGCTTAATGTTTTGTTTAGCAATAATTCCAAATGACTGGCAGCGCATGCGCATTCGACGCTACACCCTTTTCCAAAAGCCTATTACCGGCAAAAGACGTCAGCTGTGTAGAGATGTAGAAAAAAAAGAGCAAGCGTGAAAAAGAGGAATTAGACATTGATCGATTGCGCACAAAACATGCTCAGACAAGCTCTCGACGCCTACGCAAAGGGCGCCAACAAATTAAATAACAAAGTTTTCATGCCAAATATTTTTGGAACACATGCACAAGGTTCACTGCCTGCAGTGAGTAAAATTAACCAATACACTTAGCATTTGGTTAAAAATAGAATTAAAATAATAGCTGAAACTAGACTAAAAAGAGCATAAAAATGTTAATCTGGTTCATTAAGTTTGCGCTGCTTTTCATTAGTTTTCGAGGACCATAGGTACTTACTGTACGCACTTACTTCAACACTGATTGCAAGACTTTTTGAGATAGAGAAGAATAGAAATACAAACTCATTGCGTTTGCAAATTTTATATGACCCTTTTTGTAGCTACCCTGCACTTGTGATAATATAACGAGGCTATGCAATTCAATTCGCCTACAAAATAATAATAAAATAAATTTTTGTACGATTTCAAATTTTAATTTTGGCGCTATAAATTTCGCACGAACTCGTAGAAAAGTATCAATCAGCCATCGCACTTCGTATTGTGAGCAATCTCAACCTAACAGCCGTAAAATGTTCAAATACGTAAGATCCTTACACTGAGCTTTAAAAAAAAAAAAACAACATTTCTTATTCCTCTTGCTTGCAGATCACTTTCGCCGCTCTCTTCGTCTTCGCCACCGCCGCTCCTGGCTTCATCGCACAACCGGTTGTAGCCAAAGTTGGCACCGTTGTGCATAGCGCTCCAACTGCCGTCTCCCACCAGAGCATCACCCAAGTGCACAGCAATGCCCATATTGTAACACCCGTTGTGAAGACCGTGGCTCCGATGGTTCCAGTAGTCAAAACTATTGCCCCTGTTGTACCAGTGTTGAAGACCTATTCCGCACCGGTGGTGCATGCCGCTCCAGTTGTACCTGTTGTGAAGACATACTCCGCTCCAGTGGTCCACCACGTTCCCGTTGTAAAGTCTGTCGTCGCTCCCGTTGTGCCAGTCGTCCATGCTGCACCTGTTGTAAAAGCTGTGGTTGCTGCTCCGGTTGCCCACTTTGTTCATCACTGAACTTACTTACTGTTATTCCTGATGGTGTTAAAATAAATGTATAAGATATTAATTATTTTTGAAACATATGGAGTTTCATTTTGGAAACTCATTCTGAGATGATTCGTGTCTTCATCTATTACTTCTTTTTGTATGTATGTATGTATGTATGCAGGTGACGGGCACTACCATGCCCGCAGGCAGGGCTTTTTTAAGCTCTCTATACATTTTGTAGAGGCGCATGCAGAGTAAAAGCTCTCTCTGCCCATTAGAGTCTAACAAATTGTACGGAAGCTTACAAAAACTTTACGCGTAGGCAAGGCGGTGCGATAACAGATGTTAGTTTACTATAATGATTAAAAATAATTTTTTAATAGAGAGTTTTTTCGGAAATTGGTGTTTAAGAGCGTTTTGGGGTTTGTAGGTTTTGCCAAAGTACCGTCGATATGTATGGCCACATATCTTTACAACGCTTAATTTTTTTTATAGTTAGCACTCACAAAAAAACATATCCCTCATAATAAGCTTTCGAAAGCTTTCCGTATAGGTGCCCACAAGGTAAAAGCTCTCTCTGGTCATCCTTGGTGTATGCCAGTGTTGCGCGTAGAGACGTTTTATAAGCTGCGTGTCGATATCGAGGCTTGAAAAAGCTCGTTACAAGTGCCTGTTCGATAAAGTGGCCAACGCTGTTGTAAAACATTCTGAATATTGTTAATCGTACGTGAGAATATCTTAGGAAACTGTTACTTTATGAACGCGCATAAATCTGTATTTATAGAAAGATTTAGAAAGCTTTTTCCGCGAGATTTGTGTTGGTCGTGACTTATATATTTATGTGTATGTATATATGGATCGTCCACGCAGTGTGATCTGAGCAATTAGAGCAGGTGCCTACATAGCTAGACCTTCTATTGTTGAGGCAACAGAAGTTTAACCCAATTATAGTTTTTAGATTATTTCAGTCTTTGCTGAATGACATATTCACCGGTTTTCTGAAGGTTGTCTCGATGGTCTCAGATGATGAAAGTATTGGAACTGGTCTCGGGCCAAAAAAAAAGATTGTCCAAGCACCTTTTAGCCATCGCTCACTAGTAGGTTCTTATTCCCGCATGGACTGGCAGGCGGAAGCTCGTTATTTTTACGGCAATATTTAATCCTTTCGAGTTCCGCTGCTTAACAGCAACAAATTTCAGGATCGAAAGAATAATTAAGTTATGACTTGCATTGCTGAAACTAAATAGTTGGAGAACTGCCAAATGCTATCGCTGTATGCGGAAGAACTCCTATTTTCTACACTTGGTCCGTGGCCTTGCGGAACCACACATATCTCAGCTTGAAATACCGAATCATAATCCCATTTAAAGAAGTGATGATTATCCCCGTTATCTTTGCCAAGGCCTACAACTCCTGGTCTTGTAAGAATTTTTGAGCCTGGGGCGGAACCTCAGAAAAGGTGTAAAGATTTTCAGCAAAAGAAAGGGGGCGTCCTATTTGGAACGTTAAAAAGACATCCACGTCAGGATCTATGACTCCAAAAATATACGCCTTACTTCACACTGTAAGATCAGCACCCATTTCATTTAAGCCAACAAATAGTCTCCGCGCGAATAAAGACACTAAGTGGCGGAGGTTGAGGAGTACATCAGAGGCAGTCCCAGATGTCGTAGAGAAACGAAAAGCTTGTAAAGAAATCTTACAGGCTATTGATTTATAGTCCGCTCCATCACTCCATAGACGATAAGTTGGTGATGGTTATCATCATAGAGATGTAAAGCTGAACCACCCTTATTAATGATAGATCCCTAAGCGTGCTAAGGATTTCGAGGTGTTTCGTTTAACCCGAAACTTCCACAAAAATTTACTATCGTGGATTACTCCTAGCACAACATTAGTTTGGAATTGGCGGATAATACATTTTCGCTAATCGAAGTGTCAGTGTTCTTAGCGCTTTTTTGAGAGCAAACGAGGGGCATATAAAAAACTCAAATTATTTTAATTCATTAAAGTCTTATATATTTCTTTTTATAATGTTTCGGATGACATCGTGAAAAGTTTAATGACGAACAAAGTGAGCAACTGGAGCAGCATGAACTACCGGCACGACTGGAGCAACGACAGATTTCACAACTGGAACGTGGTGTACGACTGGTGCGGAGTAAGTCTTCACAACAGGTACAACTGGAGCCGCATGCACAATAGGGGCGGAATAGGTCTTCAGCACTGGGACAACAGGGGCAATAGTTTTGACTACTGGAACCACTGGAGCCACGGTCTTCACAACAGGTGTCACGAAATGAGTATTGCTGTGCACTTGAGTGATGCTCTGGTGGGAGACGGCAGTTGGAGCACTGTGTACAACGGTGCCGACTTTGGCTACAACCGGTTGTGCGATGAAGCCAGGAGCGGCGGTGGCGATGGCGAAGAGAGCAGCGAGGGTAATCTGTAACAAAATAGAATCGAATATTTATCGTGGCTTCTAATTAAACCTACCTTTTTAAGGATCTTACAAATTTGTACATATTGCTACTTTTGGAGTTGTGGTAGTTTGCGGCTTCAAAGGTGTAAGTTTATTGATAGTTCTGCAGTAAATTTGCGTGAAATTTATAGCGCTACTAAACTCGCACTCAAATGTGTTCACATTGAACTCGAACCTTAAAATTCGCAAAACAAACATCGTACAAATCAATAAGATATATTTTATAATGCACGTGACTAGTGAGGTCAGTTTTGGCTTAAAAACTATTTCATGCTTTGACAAAGACAAACTCATACAAAGGCAAAAATAAAAAATCAGAAAACTAACAGCAATCTTTCAGTAGCTCTGTTGAATTGCCTTTAATTGAGGCTGGGTAATTAATTTCAAACGCAGCATAAATAGCAAACATACAAATTCGAATGAGTTGACAAAATTTCTGAAATTGCAACTGAGGTAAATGCCAGGGACAACTTGCTACTAGCCAGTGAACCAGCTGCTTTTAACAAAGATTTATTTTAATTATTTCCTATGGTCTCCATTTCAGTGCAACAGCGCAAATAATTCTATGAAGGTATTTTAAATTACTGCTTTTCGAATGGTTCATTTAAGTGAATTCGTTTGATTGGCATACTCCAAAAATTAAGTACATGCAATGATATAAATTATGCTAATTTCTCTTAGTTCAACACTAGTCAACCAACAAACTTCAAAGAGCTCCTTCCAAGCAGCAACAGCAGCACTAGCAAAATTTTCAAATTCGTAAGTTAGCAAAAGCTCAAGGAATCTTTAATTGTGTAAATTTACTAACTATTTATGATAAACCATTTTTTCTTCCAACAGATCACTTTCGCCGCTCTCTTGGCCATCGCCACCGCCGCTCCTGGCTTCATCGCACAACCGGTTGTAGCCAAAGTAGGTGCCGTTGTGCACAGCGCTCCAACTGCCGTCTCCCACCAGAGCATCACTCAAGTGCACCAGAATGCTCATTTCGTGACACCTGTAGTAAAGACCGTGGCTCCGGTAGTTCCAGTAGTCAAAACTATTGCACCTGTTGTCCCAGTAGTGAAAACCTATTCCGCCCCTATTGTGCATGCTGCCCCAATTGTACCTGTTGTGAAGACATACTCCGCTCCAGTGGTCCACCACGTTCCCGTTGTAAAATCAGTCGTTGCTCCAGTCGTGCCGGTACTCCATGCTGCACCTGTGGTTAAATCTGTGATTGCCGCTCCAGTTGCTCACTTTGTTCATCATTAAACATTTATGCTCAGAGAATAAAAAAAATATTTATTAACAATATTTGTACATTAGGGTGGGTCAAAATTTTTTTTCGACAAATCGTATGGTTTTTTCGTTTTCTACAAATTATTCTAAGAGAAAATGTAGACGAAATTATACCGCGTAAATGAGTTTCTAGCCTGCGCATTGTTAAAAGCAAAATTTACCTGGTCACACATTTTTGCTTTTTTCATTCTTTGTCAGTTTTACAATGTGTTGACATTTCTTTACAACTATTGTAGTTTTTAGTGATTAAATACAAAACTGTTATCTCTGCATACACTTTTTTCAGTTGGTTAATCTTCTGAATTTGAGATTTACAAAACAGACATATTTCCTTTTTACAAATATGTAGTTTAATTTTATTTAATACAAAAATGGCAAGCAAAGCTATAATTTTACATTACAGTTTCATTGTTGTAAAACAAAACTAGCCTGCATTGACAGTAAATAGAATTCTAAACGGAAAAATTTAAAAGTACTTTTATGCAAAGAAATAAAAAGAGTAGGAGAATATATTTCCACTGATACCTCAAAAGTGTAATGGGAATAGTATTATTCGAGTTTCTCTTTAACCAAGGTTTGAAAAAAGTTAAAAAAACAGCATCAAAAATCTCATTATTACGATTCCGTTGATTCAATTTTTAAATATTTTTATACAGATTTTTTTAAGCTTAAACTATTTTGTCATCTGAGGGGATTTTTCTCAAAAAGTTCTTTAAGAAACTATTTTTATTTATAAAAAACTCCATTTTTTTCAATTCGGTCCAACTCACGTGAATTTTAATATTTTTTTCAAAATAATTTGGTGGACGTCTTCAAATATAATAGATTTTGTAATCCCGGCGGAAAAACTGGAACTTTTTTTGGTGATGCAGTCTAATGTACATACATATCGTCGTTTAAAGTACAAAACCGCGTAACTGACATTGGCTGCCAAAAATTGGATTTTCTGACACAAGCTCTTGGCTCAATCCTCATCCATTCGTCCTGAGATATACTAGCCAGAAATGCGATTGCTTTATAAAAACAATGAAAAAATTGGGTTTAGTGACCCGTACTAGCTCGCTGGTGGGAGTTAGGATTCCACCGCAATGAGCACTTTTGTAGAGCATTCAATTCTAAAGAAAACCCATCATTGACCAAGATTATACCATAAAAAAAAGCTCAAAGCTTACGTGTATTTTATATGGGAAATTTGCACGCCTTGGGCGAGTACCTAATGTTTATATAAAGGGTTGAAATTTTCAGGGAGTTTTTTTTAGGTGTTTTCCATAAAATTTCGAGGCAGGAGTGCAAAAAAAAACAATAGTCGCAAAAAAAAAGCACATAAGTAGGTACCTATGTTTATTTCAAACTAACAAAACTTCTGTAGATCCGTAATAAAGCTACATAAATAACTCCAAAGGACAATTTTCATAGTATGAAATATGGTTGTTTTGAACCTAATATTCGATTAACCACGCTCTGAAATCTTACCCAATATGGTGCAGATATTGCCCTTGGTCGCAACAATCAATATCATGAAAACTTTCGAAATCAGATAAAAACCTCGCCTCCTTTTCTTGTAAAGAAAACCCGAATACTGAACAAATAACTAAAGGGAAAATTTAGTAGCTCAAAGAAAAATGCAAATAATACAGCTTTATATAATGACATACATATTTACGTTTCATTAGTGCTACTTTTTTGTCGGAGAGTGTACATACATAAACAAACGTAATCTCACCACCACAGCAATAAATGTTTAACCAAACGGAAATAACTCATTGCACTTTCATTAACTCACGCGCCTACTCTTTGTTTATTTCGTTGCTCAAAATACCCCATTTAACAAAACCCGCTCTCGGACTTCGATTCGCGGCATTTTTCGCGATTTCGTTCAATTTGCCAAATTCAAAGCCAACCGGTCAACTCTTCGAGTTTGCAACAAACCAGCCGAAATAGCTGAGATACAATGTTGCTGAATATTAGCCAGCAACATTTGTTTACTATTCAAGTTCAATGCGAACATTTTTCAAAAGTGCTTGTTTATATTGATGCATGTGAATGTAAATATGTGTATATACATAGGCATTAATGAGTATTTGCACATACATACCATGTAGGAAATTATCAACGAGTAAAACGATTTGCAGGTTTGGCAGTACTGCAACTTTGACTTTTTTCGGAAAATTTTGTAAAAAATCGACCATACTGGAGGCTGTCGACAGTCTAAAACTAGTTGTCGCCGCTACTAATAAAATATAGTATTTAGTATGTTCAGACATGCAAGCCGCCCTTAAGGAGTTTGAGTCTATCACATAAATTCTGAAACACTTGTAAACTATCCCAAATCTCTTATCGTGATGGCAAAGCAGTTCGATTTACACCTGATATGGGTCCGGGATAGAGTGGCATCAATGAGGAATAAGAAGGTAGAGAGTTTGCAATTGCAGGTACATAGTTTCGTGCCACATCCAGACTGTATTGGAGGAAAAGCGTGTGCTTCACCTCCTACAAGCTCATATCAAAGAAGCCTTTCCTTAAAGAGCCAGATATCAGATGAAAATCATCAATATAACACAATATAAATTCTAATCAAGAATGAGAAGATCAAAATTCTAGTATCGGTAGAGCGTAAATGTCAACAGTCAATGGGCCTAATGCCTTTAATTGATAGGAAGATATGCAGAATGTCTGGTGTTTATCCAAAATGAGTATTTCAAAAGCCGTTTCGGTGGAAAAAGTCGTTTAGTCTGCCTTGCACTCTACAGGAAAAGACAAAAAATACCTAGTAAAGCATTCCTTAGCAGAAGTGCAAAGTTCAAGACCTCGCTGTTGTCAAATCTCGTAGACTTCACGAGCTTGTTAAAAAGATAGCGGAGTTTCTGGATGAATTTGGTATCACAATAGGCCTTACATTGTGCTTTTCGAAGCTACTTCTTTCTAGTTTTACCTATGATTCCTTTGTATTGGTTGATTCTTCCGACAAGTTGAGAAGATGATCTACTCTCTAACGAATTTACTTCATTATTTGCCTAATTCCATCCCGGTACGGGGCACAATGACATACTCTTGCCCTGCCCTCGCACCCTTGCTATATTTTACTTAACACCACATAAACTTTCTATCTCCCCGCAGGGAGGTGTCCTCGCAACCCTACTCCGGGTCGTCGTGGTCAACGATATACTAGAGTAGCTAGAGAAACTTGGCTGTCGGGTAATTGCCTACGCAGACGATGTTGCACTTATAATCAAAGGTAAATACCTGAACACACTTTATGAACTGACCCAACAATACCTTAACATAGTCACTAACTGGGCGGCCAAAAGTGGCCAAGCCGTCAATCCCAGTAAGACAGAACTGGTCTTATTCACTAGAAAGTATAAAATCCCCGACGCTATTCTTCCCCCAATTGTAGGTCAGCGCTTGCAGCTGTCTGACAAGGTCAAGTACTTGGGCTTGATCCTTGACAGGAAGTTGTCGTGGAGACCAATCATCAGGGAAAGGGCAAGAAATGCATCATTGGCCATATATTGGTGTAGAAGAGCTATTGGTAAGAGATGGGGTATTTCGCCCAAAGTAGTCTATTGGCTCTACGAGACCGTAGTCAAACCAATTATGTTTTATGGCGCCCTAGTCAGGTGGAACTCACTGGAAAAGGCTACACTAGCAAAGCAGCTAGAGCGCGTACTTTATTGGTATTAGTGGAGCACTGCGGACCACCGCCATATTAGCGAACGTGAACGTAATGCTGAACATAGTGCCTGTCGACGTTGCAGGCAA